CCCGCGTGTCCTCCTCATCCGACCTCATCCAACTCTCACCCCTCCTTGTCCACCACGTCCCTCCCTCCCCCGCTATTCCACCCCTCCTCCCCTCCTCACGATCGTCATTCCTCAAGCTCCGCCTCTGTATTTCCCTTTCTCCTCCTTCCCCTCCTATCCCTAGATCTTCCCTCAACTCCGCCACCGTGCCCCCTAGCACGCTGAGGCGTGGTACGATAAGGTATGGGTTCGCGCACAACGCGGGGTCAGGCGTAAATCAACCAAGCTCGGGTTCAGACTCGCACCCTTCGGCGAGTAAATTGTTGGGAAGTCCCAGGAGCGGGGTCCGGAGTAAATTCGGAGGAAATCTCAGGCGGAAGCCGTTGTTGTTGTAATCCGGGGGGGCAGGGGTTCAGTTTGAGCAGGAAGGCTTTCCCTGTCAAAAAACAGGGTGCGAGCGTCGAGGGGCACACTTTGATTGAGAAAGAAGAGTATGCACCGGTAGGGGGGATCAACAACAATTATTCTTCATAAATGAGAATTCAACAACAACAACAACAACCACAACAACAACAATCATTTTACCCGAACGCGTGGTGTTCTCCCCAGTGCCAGGGTTTTCATACGACACCAGGCAATACCCCCACTTCGTGGGGGGGCATTACAAGCTCTACCAAATATCCAAACGACTCTTCGCGACCACCCAAACCCAGCTTCCCGCCCTATGACGTTGGGACACTTCACTTCGTGGCGTGCGGACGACCGTGGCTACTACACTGGCTGGGGAAGAACCCAATGGTTTTTGGAGATTTCGGCGTGCGCGCGCGAAGAAAAAACGAATGTGTCCCGCATGGTATTATTTGACAGGGATGATGGCCCTGGCAGGTGCGCAACCGTTGTCGCAGAAGTTCGAAAAAGTTGCTCGCAAAAGCCCGTTTGACAGAAATGTTTAAAAAGTGTTGGGTTTCCTACGAATCCGCAAGAGCGCGCGGGATGAGATTTTGACATTTTTTTGTTGAAAAACCATTGGTTTTTTGATGTTTTTATGTTAAAATCGCTCCGAACACTAAGCTTTTGGAAGGATTTCGTCTTGCGCGCGCGAATGTCCACTTTACCTTATTTTTTGCAAGGGATTCTTGAAATTTGATTATATTAGAACAAGAAATGTCATTTTATAGTGTTTTTTGCAAGGGAAAGCGGATTACAACAAAACAACCGGATCTTGATCACATCGAATTACCTGAGGCTTCCTCACGAAAATGATGAAAATGTAGCTGCGGCCTAGGCGGCGCAGGGGGGCCGTGCACCAGGGGGCCCAACAATAATTATTCTTTAGAATTAATAATGTTCAACAACAACAACAACAACAACAACAAACAACAACAACAACAATTACTAGCACGTGGGGACACTCCGTTCTCACCAGTGCCAGGGTTTTCATAGGAGGCGGGCAATACCCCCACTTTGTGGGGGGGCCGGTTCAAGCTCTACCAAATTTCCAAACGACTCTTCGCCACCACCCACACCCAGCTTCCCGCCCTATGACGTTCGGACACTTCACTTCGTGGCATGCGGACGACCGTGGCTACTATTCAGGGCCCCGCGGCCGACGACGACGGCGTGCGCGCGCGAAGAAAAAACGAATGTGTCCCGCATGGTATTATTTGACAGGGATGATGGCCCTGGCAGGTGCGCAACCGTTGTTGCAGAAGTTCGAAAAAGTTGCTCGCAAAAGCCCGTTTGACAGAAATGTTTAAAAAGTGTTGGGTTTCCTACGAATCCGCAAGAGCGCGCGGGATGAAATTTTGACATTTTTTTGTTGAAAAACCATTGGTTTTTTGATGTTTTTATGTTAAAATCGCTACGAAAACTAAGGTTTTGGAAGGATTTCGTCTTGCGCGCGCGAATGTCCACTTTACCTTATTTTTTGCAAGGGATTCTTGAAGTTTGGTTATGTTAGAACAAGAAATGTCCACTTTAGCTTATTTTTTGCAAGGGAAAGCGGGCCGTAACAAAACAACCGGATCCGGACCAACCCGTTTTGCCTGAGACTTCCTCACGAAAATGATGAAAATGTGGCTGCGGCCTAGGCGCGGCGGGGGGGTCGTGCACCAGGGGTCCCAACAATAATTATTCTTTAGAAGTAATAATGTTCAACAACAACAACGACCGCACCGCGGAACCCCACTTCGGCCACGCGCTGAAAATGACAATGAGTGGCCGCTCGGTTCCGTCACTCCGACCACACGTGCGAAGTCCCGATGACTTCCATAACTGCACGGTGTCCTCGGCAGTCCCGACCCCTTCCCCAGGGCTGACTTCTCGCCCCGAGTCAACTCTCTGACTGTCCCGAGGCCTGGCGAAGGCCCACAGAAGCCGAAAACCGCCCACAACCTCCCGTCGCATGGCTTATTCGCGACGCGAACATGCCTGGGGCCGCCCTCCCCCGTCCCCCCCGCCCGCGGTGGCGCGGTCGGCTGCGGCCCTCGGGAGGCCGGGCGGGTCTCCTCGAGCTCCACGGCGCCGTCCCCGAAGCGGTCCTGCCCCGCGAGGAACAGGGAGGGCTTCGGCAGCAGCGGCACCTTCAGGAGGCTCCTCGTCGGGGGCCAGAGCTCGGGGGCCCGAAAACGCAGAGGAATACACGCCTGCGGATACCACAACCCTTCTCTCGTCACCATGGCTTAGGTCGCCTCGAAAGACGGGGTCAGATCGCATCCCAGGAGAGGTCCGTGGATAGAGGCCTCCCACTGGGGGTCAGAGTAGGTACATAGTAGACGGTGTCAAAGGATCGCACCGCATCGCCGATGCACTGGCTGCGAATCTCAGACTCATCAAGGTTGTAGGGGGGGATCGCGGCCACGGTCGCGCGCGCGCACCGAACTTGCAGTCCCGCCCTTCGCCCAAACCACCCAAAGTGAAGCATCGAGGGTCTCTCACCCCACCCGACAATCACGGGGGTCTTTCGAGTGGGGTACTCAAGCGGACTCGCTGAAGCTCACATGCCGACGCGACTGTGACACTGCGCATCCATGTGAGCACGCACGACATGCACTTGGCGCAGGCGCATGAGCTCGCCTCGTTGAGCGGGCAGCCGTCTGCGGCTTAGGCGTTGACTTTCGCCGTGGGGCTGCCGCTCGCGCAGAATGTCCATGGGTTGCTTTACTTGCTTTCGACGTTGAATTATGGCGCTGGGCAACTGCGGGCGCGGCATTCCCATGGGCTCCCGTGGCCCTTCGGCGTCCTCCTGCGCCGAAGGGCTCCTCGCTGACAGGGAGGTGCCCGGAGAAAAAAAAAAAAGGGCCCCCAGATTTGGCTCGGCACCTCTTCCATAGTAGATGGATTGGAAGAATCGCGCCGCATCGCCGATACATCGCCGATGCACCGGCGATGCACCAGCGACGTCGGCGTCGAGAGAATCTGGCTCCACGTCGGACCGCATCACCGGTGGATCGGCGATGGGGAGCGATCCGTCGAGCCCCTCTCCTAGGAGTGCACTTGGGAGGCCCAGAGTGGACGGGGTCCCATTGTCCCTCCGGGTCCGTGTTCCTCCATGTCGGCCCGCCTAGGCTTAAGTCGGGCGTGTCCAACTACAGGGGATTTTCGACGAAGAACAAAAAATACCCCACAAATACCCCAAAAAGGTCACAAAATATTCAAAAAATAGTCCCCCGACTATTTTTGGACTATGCTCTGATTATTTTGGGTATTTTTTGTTTCTCGTCGAAAATCCTCCTGTAGGGGGACACGCCCGACTTAAGCCTGGGCCCCATCCGCGGGCCCGGGCCATCCCTCGAGCCCAGGGGCGCTCTCTGGGGGTGACGCCACCGCCCCCGGGGAAGGGCTGGGGCCACCTGGGGCCGCGGCCTGCACAGGTCAGCTCGGCGCCTGCCACGAGCGGCGAGCGCAGCCGGATCCGCGCGGGTGCGCGGTCTGGACTCCGGGGCGCCATCCCTGCCCGACCCCGCAGATGCGCGGCGAACGGATACGTTCCGCGCGGAGCATCTGCGAAAAAACGCCGCGTATCCGCGGGGTCGCGGCTCAGGGGCCTGGCCCACGAGGCTGTGGATACGGATACTGGCAGATTATGTGCCTATTGGGATTTCAAGCGACGATGCGGTGACAGACCGCGCGGTGACCTCGGAACTCCCAGAAAGGCCTCACCGCATCGGTCCGTCACCGCATGGTGTTTGGGTCCCCAGAGGCCCCGATCTTGCCCGAGGCGTCGTCGGGGAACGACCCCAGTCCCAAAACCGTGCGGCCACCCCGAATCCCACTGACTCACCACACGGAGTGGGAACCGCACCGTCTAGGGCCCGACGAGAGATCGGGGGTGCACGAAGAGGGGGGCTGGAGGGGTGAGGGTGGGCGCATCATGGCCCGAGGCATGCTGCTAAGATTGCATACAGTCGAAATCTATAGGAAGGGCGGGTGGTACACTCCACCAGGATACTAAGGATGCGTGGTAAGGATGCAAGGGCCTTGGAACGCCATGTTGACGTTTTCCGTGCGGAGCGCAGCAGAATGCCGAAGGATGCGGAATACCGAAGGGGCAAGGATGCAAGGGTAGCCTTGGAAGATTGACCCATCCTTACTATCATGGTTGACTGTAAGAATTAAAAGCTATGGACGCCGAAGCTGGCACTTTCTTGGGCGGCGGCGGCGGCTGCCAACGCCGTGAACGGCTGGCAAATGAAACCGCGAAAGGCTGGCCGCGGAAGCAAGGACGCAAGGGTACCCTAAGGACAGCCATGAGTCCTTGCTATTAGTTTTGACTGTAACGTCTCCTGGGATGGCGCCATCTGACCTTTGAAGGAACCCGACGGGCCAAGGCTGTTTCGCAGTGAATGCGCGGGGCAGCTCAGGGAGCGCCAGCTGCGGGAGACGAGGCGGTGATCCCTCCCCTTGAGCGGAAATGTTCGGGTGGGACTGGCCCAGGGGGGGGGGGAACATCGACCTGGAATCGGCGGTACATCGCCGATGGATCGGCGACTGCCCCGGATACCAAATCCGCAAGGTCTTGGGGTGGGCTATGGGGCCCCCCTCGGAGATGAACGGGCGATTCGGGGTCGTTACATCCGCCCCTGAGATTACCCACCCCTAACGTTACCTTTGATCCTCCCTTGACTCCTGTACGCCCAGGTGTCGCCGTGCGGGACCTGTGAGACCTGACGCCGCCGAGAATAAATGAAAGAGTGAGAGAGATGCGAGGCAGGGTCTTGTCCAGATCCGCTGCCTGGGGAGCCGATGCCCTACACTTGGACCCCAGGGGGCCCGAGTGTATCCATATCCAGCGCCTGCCGAGGTCCCCGAACATCGCTGCCCCAGGCGGTGGCCGTGGATATATCCCCGCCTTGGAAGAGAGAGAGAGAGAGAAAGAGAAAGAGAGAGAGAGAGAGATGAGGGGCAACGATACGATGTTCAGTGGAAAAATCGTATCCCCCCAAAGCCCCGGACAAACCCATGGACAACCCGGACAACCCCTCCAATATTCATACCATAAGCGTCCCAGCGTAGGAGGTGGCCGGCGCTGATGCGAGAGCACCACGCCTAAGGATGCGGGATGCGGCCAGCGCGCGGGCAACAGAACCAATCCCAGACGTGCATGTAGCCAGAGCTCGGGCGAGAGCACCATTCCCAATCACGGATGTTGCTGGCACCCGAGCGGCAACACAATACATACTCAATAAAAGATGTGGCCCACGTGGAGGCGAGAATACCGTTCCCGATCAGAGACGTGGCCCCTTAGCATAAACTAGCTTCTACCGCAACGTGACCCCGGTCAGCCAGGCTGTTTTGGGGGAGCGCGGTAAAAGAGGGCGTGCAAACGGGAGCGGAAGGGGGGCACGGAAGGGGGACACGAGAGACGAGGAACGGACAGGAGGGAAAGGGGGAAAGAGAGGCGACATTTACAGCTGGGTTTCCCTGGTTGTGCCACGCTTCTGCTGGATGGTACGTGTGATAATAACATGTGCAAGTGCTGTCAAAACAACGCGGCCTGGACAACCCCTTGGACAACCCCGCAAGGATCGCTCCGGACCGCCCCCCCTGGACCACCCCCGTTGGACAAGCCTCCTTTATCCATTCAAATCATAGGGGAGATAGGCATAGAGGGGGGGAGAAAGAACATCAACCTCGAATCGGCGATACGTCGCCGAGAGATCGGCGATAGGCCCCCGAGAATGACTCCGCACGTTCCTGGGCAGGCTGGGGCGATCGGGCGCACATCGGCGATCCAATGGCCACTAGGGGTCGATGCGTGCCGATCCCTATCGTTGCCCCTGAGAGAGAGGAGAGGAGAGGAAGAGAGAGGCGAAGAGAAGCAATGGGAGGCGGCACCGCCAGAGCCAGAGCGGGGGTGCAGGAGCGGTCAGAAACGGCGGCAGCCATAGGGGCTGGGCTTCTTGAGAGGCCGCGGGAGCTCCCTGCAGCACAGGGGGGGAGGGTGACGACGACAGAGAGACAACAGAGAGAGAGGGGGGGGAAGGAGAGAGAGGGAGGGAACAAGAACAAACACAACAGCACCCATGGTGAGACAATTCGCACTTCGCCGCTCGAGTGTCGTTCCACGTGCAAACCGTAAACCATTGATAACCGCCTCCTCGTCTTCCGTTCCACCCCTGTGGGGGGTACATCTGTCTTGCCTGCCACCTGTCATTGGCGCGCTCCCTGGAAAGTGGGAGGACGAGGATGGAGAGGGAAAGGAACAGGGGGGAGAGCGAGGAGAGGACGAGGAAGCGACCACGGAGGGGGGCAATGGAGAAGGGAGGAGCACTGAGGGCGAAGAAGATGTTCAGCAGCGCGGAGAGGAGAGAAGAACAATAACTTAGCGTGGGAGAAACGGGCCCTGAGGGAAACGGGTCTTGGACCCAAATGCCTTCCCCCGAGACGAGGTCTCCATCCCAACTCGTCTGCTGACAGTCCCAGGGCCCGTGGAGGGCCCCGAGAGCCCAAAAAACGGCGACACGCCTCAGAGCACCTTTCCCCCAGGACCCGCGTCCCCCGTGGCGAAGGGAAGAACGGTAGCTTTGGCAAGTGGACCCCAGCGGGCGGGCCTGCCCTGACTCGGGTCGGGCGAAAGGGGGGGATAGCAAAGGGGTGGTTTGAGATTCAGCTCACGTAGCTGATTTTCCCGGCGCCTCCCGGCGCCGGAGGCGGCCATGTATCGAGAAATGGGCCCCTCGGCGGGGCCGAAACCAGCTGCATGCACCAAATTTCGTAACCCCCCCTTTCCCAATCCCCCCCTTTCGTCCGACCCGACTGACGGACGCGTCGGGCGGGCGGGTCATCGCGGGCGTGCTGGGCGAGCGGGGGATCAAAGAGCGTGCGGCCAGACTTTCGAGAATGCGGAAGGCTGTACCCACCGGTCGGAAGCAGGCCGAAACATGAGTTCAAGGCGTTGAAAATAAATTGGGTGTCCGCCCGCCCCCCGAGGATGACGGAAAAGGTGAAGCCACTCGATCATTGAAGTAGGAAGGCGTTTAAAGTAGACTGGATTCTGGGACTCCAGTAACACCTACTTTCAACGGCCGATGGGTAGCCCTGACGGCAAGTCGGGCGACAATTGCGACGACGCTGGCGGTGACGAAGACGACGAGCAGGAGGAGGGAGCAGGAGGAGGAGGAGCAGGAGGAGGAGGAAGGACGACGACGAGGAGGAGGACGACGAGGATGAGGACGAGGACGAGAACGACCGACGACGACGACGGCGGCGGCGGCGATGGTGGCGGCGGGGGCCACTGGGGGCCCGCTGGCCATCGCTCGGACGTCCATTCCCTGTGTTTTTTTCGGTTTCGTGCGTGGCTTTTTCGCCAAATGATCAAGGATGCTCCTCGATGGTCCTCGCCGAAGCAAAAATGCACACGTCCGAGCGATGCCAAGCCCGACGGGGGGCCGGGCGGGACACCGGCGCGGGCGGGCAAGCTTCCGGGCAGGCGAGCGGGCGGAGCCTCACACATAATAGGCGGGGCTCGGGCGGCCGGCCCCGACGGGCGGGGTGGGGCGAGAGGGGCCCCGAGGGGCGATTCGGACGAGAGGCCGACCGGCCACAACGGGGGGAGCCGTGGTCCCCTGGGGGAACCCATCGCAGCGACGATCTCTCGAGAGGGGTGTCGAAGTCGATTGGTCCCCCAGGGGGGGCAAGGACCACGGCTCCCCCAGTTTTGGCTGGCCTGAGAGGGGCACTGATAGGGAAACAAAAAGCGGCATAAACAGAACAGCTCGGAGGTCCGCGCGGATTTCTCGAATCGGCGCTGGAGCCCCCCGGCGGCGCCTCCGGCGCCGCCCCTGGCGCGCTCCGCGCGCCAGGGAGGGGGTCCAACGCCGATCCGAGAAATCCGCGCGGACCTCCGAGTTTTCATGTTTGTGCCACTTTTGCCCCCCTAAACTGAAGCAAATTTCGTAAAGAAAGTGTTATATAGAAGCCTATGGCGAGAGGGCGAGACCAGAGTTGGGTTGAGTGAGTAGACGTCGCGTGCGAGAGCGCAAATCAGGGACGTCGAAACAGCAGCGCCATCTGGCAAATTGCAAGGAAGTCCTGGGCGAGACCGCGATTCCTAAGCCACTTGCCAGGAGCCTCGAGCGAGAGCGCGATTTCGAAACAATGCGAGAAAGCGAAGCCAGTGTCAGGCGGGAGCCGTTGTTCTTGTAGGCGGGGGCCAAGTGGCACAGTTTGAGTACCAAGACTCCCCCCGATCTGAAAACAGCGTGCGAGCCACGGAGGGGGGCACTGAATTGAAAAAAGGTAGGCTTGTGAACTCGTCTGCTAAACCGTGGGTGTTTGAGGGGCTGGGAGAAGCGAAGGGGGTGCTGCTGCCATCGGCCATCACCATCGGTTGCAGCCCCTCTTTCTGCCCTTCTCTTCAGAGAGGGGGGCCCGTGAAGGGGGGGGGCACAGCGGGTGCCCGACGTGCCCGCCGGGCCTCTCTGAGGGCCTCAGCCGCCCCGGCGCCCCGACTGGCGCTGGGGTGGGAGGCGCTCAGCCGCGCGATGGTGCCCGTCTGGGCTGCAGCTTGCCGTCGCTCGGACGTCCATTTCCCATGCATGTTTCGGTTTCGTGCGTGTTTTTTGTTCGCTCGATGGTCCAGGATGGTCCTCGATGGTTCTCGCCGAGAAAATATGCACACGTCCGAGCGATGCCAGGGCAGCGGCACTGGCACTGGCGCTGGCGCAGCTCGTCAGGGGCCTGGCCCGGCGCCTGGGCTTGGCGCCGCTGCTCCTGGGCTCAGCCGCGGGTTTCGACCGGGGGCGGCTTCGCAACTGCATGGGCGCGGTGGGTGAAACGCAGGGAAGGGGGAGGAGGGGGTCACGAAACACTGTACTGGGTGTGCGGGACGCATGCGGACGGTAGCACTGGGACCTTCGGTTGGGCTCCCTATGGGGCCACGAAGCGCTGTGCTGGGTGGGTGAAACGCAGGGAGGGGAGAGGAAGGGGGAACAATGCAAAATGCATCTCGCGGCTAAATCTGGATCATGCGCGGCATTCCCGCGATCACTGCCACATGGTTTTTGACAGGGACCGCGGGGGTGGTGGCGTGTGCCATGCTGTGCGCAGGCCCACCAGGCAATGATGGGCATTGGTGTTCGACGTGCGCAGGCGCACCTGACGCACTCTGCACGTGCCCCGATCGTGGCGCACCTGGCGCGGCTGGAGTGTGCGGAACACCTGGCGCACTCGGAGCACATGGCGCATCTGGCGCACCAGGCGTGCCTGGCACGCTCGGGCCAAATGTGTGCCTGGCGCGCATGGCGCCCCTGGCACGCGTGGCGCACCTCGCCCAAGCGTCGCGCACCTGGGTTCCCAGTAGCTGCCCATCCAGAGACGACCGCTGAACATGCTCAGGCTCGGATGTTAATTATGTGTTGGGAGGGCGGGTGGGAGAGACGGCTTGCGGGTGGGTGGGTAGCTTGACCCCTCCCCCATACCCCCTCCCTTGGGCCAGGGGAGGGGCGCGAGGCATCAGAGTCCCGAAAATGGCCCAAAAAGGGGCCAAGGCGGCCAAGAGGGCCTCAGAGGACCCAAGATGGTCTCCAAAATGGTCCAAGATGTTTCGGGATGACTCCAGATGGCCTCCGACATACATCCAAGACGCCCCGAGACGGCTCCATGACGGTTTCAAGTGCCTTCCGAGCCCCCCCAAGGAGCCCACCCAAGAGTCCAACAAGGCTCCCAAACATGTGGAACATCCATGGTTTTTGTAGTCTTGCCGATTCGCTTCCGAATGCCCTCGGAGGCCCCATGGTGGCTCCAAGACTGCCAAAGAGAGCCCCAAGAGGAGCCCAAGAGGGCCCCAAGAGGGCCCCAACAGTGCCCAAGACCGCCCCAAAAACGCCCCAAGATTGCATGTTTCAGCCTCCCGGGGGGGGGGCCTGAATTGAGGACCCCCCTCCGTTTGAGCTACGGGGGCCAAAGCGGCCCCAAGAGACCTCCGAGACCCGCCCCAAAGGCCAAAAGAGGGCCCCGAAATGGCCCCAAAAAGAACCCCAAGAGGGCCTGAAGAGGGCCCCGAGAGAGCCTAAGGTGGCTCCAGGAGACCTCTGAGAACCTCTCACAACACCTCCACTCGCCTGGGTATCGGGTTTGGATGGGCTGGTGGGGATACTTTTTTTGGTCGCGGGCGGACGCGGTCACGCAGTCGCCGAAGGGGAGGTCCGGGGCACGGCCCTGCCTAATTGGCTACGCGCGAGCCTCGAGCGAGCGGCCGGGCCAGCACTCAGGAACAGCAGCCGGCGGGGCTGCAGCTGATGGGAAGCTGGATGAGCTGTCTACAAAAGGCCAGGGTAGCAGGTGCAACATGCAAGAGAGAGGCTGAGCTGGTGGGGATACGCGAAGCGTCGAAGTCTGGGGGACTTTCGAGCCTTCTGAGAAGGCCCGCCCCTTCTCACTTCCCCCCTCGCTCGCAGCCGAAGAAAAGATAGGATGAGCAGGAGGGAAGCAGAAAGGGCAAGGGGAAGCGCGCGAAGCTCGTCCATGGGAAGAAGTGCGCACAGATCGGCTAGCTCGCACGAAACGTGGCGGACTGATGATGCCAGGGTGAGCACTCACAAACTGCGCCAATACCAGGCAGACCTCAGAAATTATAAGAATTCAAAGGTAGCCTTGTGAACCTGGAGCCACCGACGCGGGAGTAGAACAACGTGCACGGACGGTTGGCAATGGCGGATGGGTTTGTTGGAAAACGTACGGCCAGAAGCCACTCTGCGTTGCGAGGACAAGGAGCAGGACAACACTGAGGGCGCGCGGACAAGCATGACACAAGATACCCTCGGCACATGCCTCCTCCTCCTCCTCCTCCTCCTCTGTTCCCCCCCTGCCAGGACCTCAACCTCGATGGCTCGAACCTTGTTGTTCTTCGGGCAATTGTCGAAGAACCAACCGTTGCACGACTGATTGCCGCTGGCTTCGACTGCGAGTAGCCACCGGGTCATGCCGGCTTGAAGCCGCTGTTTCCGATGCGGAGGAAAACAAGGAAATAGAGAGATATACATATCCGCCGATCCGGCGTGTGAGTTTCTGAGAGCGTTGGCTTGAGCTCGCTCAAGCTTCGCTCTGCGGAGGGGGGGGGGACCTCATTTTCCACCTATTTCCGACCTATTGCTGACCTAATTCAGTGCTTCGCACCCCCCCCCTCCAGAGCGGACCCCCCCCCCTGCAGAGCGCCCCCCCCTCCCCCTCCTGCAGCCCAGCCCCCCCCCCCCCCCCCTTGCAGAGCGCATCCCCCCCTTCAGCCCTCCCCCCTGCAAGCAGACCCCCCCCCTCGGAGGAGAGGAGGATGAGGAGGGGATGGGGAGGAGGAGGAGGAGAGGAGGGGGGGAGGAGGAGGAGGAGAGGAGGGAGGAGGAGGAGGAGGAGCAGGAGGGTGGGGAGGAGGAGGAGAAGGAGGCGGAGGAGGGAGAGGAGGAGGAGGAGGAGAGAGGGGAGGAGGAGGGAGGAGGGGAGGAGGAGGAGGGCAGACCCCCCCCCCATGCACCCCTTCCCGTGCAGAGTAGGCCCCCCCCCTGCAGAGCAGACCTCCCCCCTGCAGCCCCCCCCCCTGCAGAGCAGACCCCCCCCCCCCCGGCGCCCCTCCCCCGCCCCCCCCTGCAAGACCGACCCCCCCTCCTGCACCCCCTCCCCCTGCAGGCGCCCCCCCCCCCTCTGCAGCCCAGTCCCCCCCCCCCCTCCCTGCAGAGCGGACCTCCCCCGCGCAGTCCCCCCCCCTGCAGAGCGCACCCCCCCACCCCCCCCCCTGCCCCCCCCCCCCTGCAGAGCAGACCCCCCCCCCTCCTGCAGCCCCCCCCCCCTGCAGACCCCCTGCAGAGCGGACCCCCCCGCTTCCCCTGCAGCCCCTCCCTTGCCGAGCGGACCCCCCTGCAGAGCAGACCCCCTCCCCTGCCCTCTCCCCTGCAGTCCCTCCCTCTGCCGAGCGGACCCCCCCTGCAGAGCAGACCCCCCCCTGCAACCCAGCTCCCGTCCCGTCGTCGTCGTCGTCGTCGTCGTCGTCGTCGTCGTCGTCGTCGTCGTCGTCGTCGTCGTCGTCGTCGTCGTCGTCGTCGTCGTCGTCGTCGTCGTCGTCGTCGTCGTCGTCGTCGTCGTCGTCGTCGTCGTCGTCGTCGTCGTCGTCGTCGGCGTCGTCGTCGTCGGCGTCGTCGTCGTTGCGTCGTCGTCGTCGTCGTCGTCGTCGTCGTCGCTCGCGTCATCGTCGTCGTCGTCGTCGTCGCTCGCGTCGTCGTCGTCGCCGTCGCCGTCGTTGTCGTCGTCGTCGTCGTCGTGGTCGTTGTCGTCGTCGCTCTCGTAGTCGTCGTCGTCGACGTATTCGTTTTCGTCGTCGTTTTCGATTTCCTCGACGTCTTTAATTTCCACAGGCACCCGGAGCGCCCCGGATCGGCGGCACTGGCCGGAAGCCAACACAAGATATATATATATATATATATATATATATACAGAGAGAGAGAGAGAGAAAACGAAAGAGACGGAAGGGAAGAGAGAAACAGAGAAAGAAAGAGAGAGAGAGAGCAGCATGACGATGTGATGGTGTGATGAGACGGGTGTGCTGTGGGGAAAGACAAGATCCATCACTGCCAAGCCTGGGGTGGGTCTCAACTCGACTCTTGCAGCTCCTCGCGGGGTATGGTTGGCGGCGAGCCAGGGGGGTATACGATGTGGTGATGTGATGTGGCGTGTGCGCTGCGGGGGAAGACAAGATCAAACACTGCCGAGCGTGGGGTCTCAACTCGACTCTTGCAGTTCCTCGCGGGGCATGGTTGGCGACGGGCCAGGGGGAGCAGGGGCGGGCCTCCTAAGAAGGCTCGGAAGTCCCACTGGTCTTCTGAACAGTTTCCCCGAAGACACAGAGCACGTCGAAGAAGGCCCGAGGGTTTCTGAACGCCCCGCCCCCTTCTGTCTGAGACGGCCTCTTCCGAGTCCCTCTCTCCCTCCCCCGCTCGCTCGCCGCCGACTGGGCGGCACCTCGAGGGCTGGCCTGCGACGGACGCGCGCGACGGCCCGGCGGCTCGGCACGTGCACCCGCACCACCGGGACGGAAAAAGAATGCGACGGCTCCCGGCGCGGGCCTGCCTCGCCTGGGCCGCGACGCCACGCAGAGCGCGTCGAGGGCACCGTGGAGCTCACAATTCCAAAGGGGGGGGGGGTACTTTTTTTTTCTTTCCTCTGCGCCACGGCAATGCGCAGAAGAAATCAGAAAACGGCGCCGGCGCGCGCGCGCTCCCCCCACGCAGACCAGCCTCGGACGAACCGGCAACTGGCTGCTAAGGGGGGCGGCGCAGAAGAGCTCAAGCAACGGCCGGCGAGCGCGTGCGCCCCCGGGCAGACCAGCCTCGGACGAGCCGGCAACTGGCTGCCGGGGGCGCTGCGCAGTCGGGGGGGGCTCTCAAGGCTTCCTGGAGCCCCTGCGCAAGGCGGTCGACACCCCTTGGTCGAGCAGTCCGCACTCTGCCGCGGCAAGGGGGGGGTTGACCACCGGGGGGAGCCCCCACCTGCCGCGCGGGGTGCCGCGCACCCGCGGCGGCAGCGCTCGCCTTCTCGGGGCCCCCTCCCTCGCCAGACGGCGAGTGACCCAAACACTTGCATCGCGCCAAACGTCTGCGAGCGCTGGGTGGCGGCGGGCCAGCACGCGCAGACGGGCTTCAAACACCTGTTCAGCAGCGGCAGAGCGCCCAACTCGACGGGCGTTCAGGGCCGCAAGAAAGGCTTCCATGCAGGAAGCACGACGGAGGAGACCAGCAACATCGTCAAATGCGAGGAGGAGGCATGAGGGAAACCAATGGAATGAGCGCTCACCTTGATAGACTGGAATATGTCTCCCCATCCATCTCCTGAGAAGTGATTCCAGCTTCGGACAAGAAGAATAATGGCGAAGCGAATCGTTGTCGACTCCGTCGACGGTCTGGCACCCGAATAGACGCCCTCTTGGGGCTGAGTGAAATCGGGAGCTCGTGCAGATAGATCCAGTCAGCAAACGAAAGGGAGCCATGCCAACATACATACTCGTTGCTTTGCACACTCTTTTTTTATGTTCTCTTTCAGGATGACGATATGCTCACGGGTGACCTCAGGGCAAAAATGGTGGGCACACCGAAGGAGGATGGACTCGATGCTCTCACTGGTCTCTAGCTCTCGAAACGCCCGATAGAGTCGATGTTGTAACTTGCTCGAAGAGGAAGGGATGTCAAGGGAGAGCCCGCAATACCACATTTTGACCGACCTCAAATATCCCAAGAGGCCTTCAGCATGCCACCCACGAAGCCACCTATACGGAATGTGTTCGACGTCTGAACGAGAGGCCTCCAGTGAATCCAGAAACCCAAAGATCCACCCAGATCTCAAGAGATACCGAAGGGCAGTGGCTTTCGCGACCGCGTCGAGCTCCAGGAATTCAGCGGCGAATCCGACGCGGGTAAGTTTCGTGGCGACGTTGTAGGAGATGGCGTTCCTGGGCCCCGAGGTGAGGAGGAGCACTCCGTTGCGGTAGGCGGACACCAGCTCCTGGGAGGGCGGGTAGAGCTGAAGCCTGAACAGGAGCTTGCTAACACACATGACCTGAAAGGCAGCCGCGGACTGAGCAATTCCCAATCCCAATGCACGCGTCTGGTGAATCCTCGCAACAAAGCTGGGGAGGATGGGGGGCCATACCTGCGCGGCGCCCTCGGGGCCGATCGGGAAGCCAAGGTAGGCGGCGGAGAGGGGGACCTGAATGAGGTTGTAGGGCGCACCAAAGGAGCGGAGGAAGGAGCGGATGGGTGATGTGTCCATAGTCCCGCAGACGACCACCTGGCACTTCCGAAAGTTCAGCCGAAGGTTGGCAACCGTCGCCAGTGCTTCCAAGCTGTCAAGAAGCGCTTTGAGTGATGAGGAGATTCGCTCAACTCCAAAACCGAAGTCATCGGCATATGCAAGAGACAGCCCCAGCGCTGAGCCGAGGGACGCCCTAATCCATGCCAACAGAGGGTTCACGGCGAGAACGAAGAGGATCATGGAGGCGGGGCAGCCTTGTTTGGCCCCAGACGCGATACGAATAAGCCCGTGACGACGACCACGAAGTGAGAGGATAGCGGTGTTATCGGAGTGCATCATTCGGAAGAAGTGGACGAGCGGGGAAGGAATGCCCATGGCCTCAAGCACGAAGAAAAACCACTCCTGCGCCAGGCTAGGAAACGCTGACGCGAAGTCAGTCAACAGTAAAGCCGCGTCTGAAGACGCCGTCATGCATTTCTCCACCCCCCAAGCCTCCGCCCTCACCACGTTCTCAATCATGTCCCTCCCGCTGACGCACTTCTGTTCCTCCCCTATCAGGCTAGCAGAGTTCGCGGCAATGGGCATGACGCAAGCGGCGGCTAGGATCTTAACATCCGCGTTGCCCAGGCCGATGGGTTTGGTGGCAGCCGCCTGTCGGTGCAGCGGGTGGCCTGGGCAGTCATCATGTAGGGCACCTTTAGGAAGAAATACAAGCAAGCTGCAGAGCATGTCGGACGGGAGAGAGGAGGTGCGGTCACCGAAGAGGGTGAGGTAGCACGAGTATAAAATACGAGCCGCACACGGTTGCTTCCACACGGCATACGGTAGTCCATCAGGACCAGGGGTGCTGTGCCCACGAGTCCGAACCATCTCAAACCATACAGCATAGGGAAGGCACCAGTCGACCGAAAGCGGGGCCTGCACGGTGCGAATATGGGTGGCAATCGAATTCCACTGGGAGCGATCGACGGTGGGGGCGGCAACCTGCTGCTCCCAGAAGGCCCCGAGAGTAACGGCGGCCTCCGAGTCGGACGATGCGTGGACTCCGCCCACCGAGATGATATTCCCCAGGACCGTCCGCTTCCGAAACTTTTGCCAGAGGGGCCGCCGCCGTCGTAACCGAGCCATCGCCGACCTTTTCACCGATGCATCCGCTGAGCTCCTCCGAGTATCGCCTTCCTCCTCCTCCAGAATTTGCCTGTATATGCCGAAGATATGCTGCGATAGCCCCTCGAAGTGAATGCACCGATCGAGCTCATCGAAGTGGGTCCGAAGCCGAGGATAACATTCGAGAGCGAGTCGAGTCCCCTCTTGGTCACCACGTATCACCGCACGCATCGGTGAGAGAGCCCAATAGTGCTTCTCCTGTCTCGTGCGGGCAAGCCGACGCCGCAGAGCAAGACGGGCCGATCGGCCAGCTTCAAACATCATAGACTTGGCAAACTCCAAACGGGTCCACTCGTCCCAGGCGGCGGGGATGGTAGCAACCACCTCCTCAAGGGCCTGTCCGAACTCAGGGGTCTCGGCGAGCCACGCGGGGATGCAGGGGCTCCTGGGGTCGGGAGAGTACCTTGTGATAGTAGAGCGAACGGGCAGGTGGTCGCTGCTCATCACCGCTTTCAGCTTCCCAACGACAGTGGTGGAGACGGTGAGATCACGGATTAAGGCAGCGGGAAGGGAGGTGTAGATCCGATCTAACCGCGAGGTCGAAGCGACGGCGGACCCTTTCTTCCCCCTGCGGGTGCCGGCGGGCTGAAACAGTTCAGTGAAGTGAGGAAGAAGACGGCGAAAGTGTCGTGAGCGCCCAGCGTCGCCGGCAGAGATACCACTCCCGTCCCCGTTGAGCCCCCCCTCCTCCTCTAAGACAAAATTCCAGTCCCCCATGAGCAGGATGCGTGCGCCTACGACGGCGCCCTCCCCCAGGTGTAACAAAACGTCGCGTTGCAGCATGCCGAGCACTCCAGCAAAAAGAGGGAACGCATCAGAAGTATTCGGGAGATGAAGATTGTATACAATCAGATTCCCATAATCCCCAATCAGCGTCGATTTGATCATCCTCCCTGTGACCAAAGTAGAATGAGAAACGGAAGAGAAGAGATGCACGAGAGCAGGGCCGAGAGCGGTGACAACCCCTCCTTCCCGAGAGGAGTCTTCAAAGAAAGAATATCCGAATCGGAAGCCAAGCAGGCCGTGTTCCAACTCAGCAATATCCCCGATATGTCCATGTGTTTCTTGTACGGGAATGATGTCATTGGTGTTGCAGAGCGATAGGCAACGGTGGCAACGGTCCCGAGCACGCCAGGAGTTCGTTTTCACAGTGGTGAAGAGGGCGCCGATGTTCCATGCACAGAGGGAAAGGGGGGGGGGAGAGCAAGCTAGGTGCGCTCGCGTCAACATCTGACATCCTACCCCTCCCTCCCATCCCTTCCCATTGAGCTACTTCATTGTGCTCTCACCGAATCGGGCTTCGCATCTGACCCTGTTACCTAAGAGGGAAAGGAGGAGGACGACGGCGCGATGAAAACGAAGACGACGACGACGAAGACGACGACGACGACGACAACCACGACGACGACGACGACGGCGGCGACGACGACGACGACGACGATGAGGACGACCGGCGACGAAGACGGGACGCCGCCCAAAAGGGGGGGCTTTCTGCGGCCCCAAAAATCAACGAATCGACACCGGATGTGTAATCACCTCCAATGTTTTTGCCGGGGATCATTTTCTAGATTTGGGGCTTCTTAAAAAGAATCGAAAACGTCGGCGCTGCAGCGGGAGCACGTTTTGGAACAACGAGAGGCGCAGAAATTGGGCCAGCGCTGCAACGGGAGCACGATTCGGAACGAGCGGGAGCGCGGAAATGAGGCCAGCGCTGCAGCGGGAACACGATTCGGAAGGAGCGGGAGGGAGCCCGAAATTAGGCCAGCGCCTCAGCGAGAGCAGCATTTTAGAAAAAAACACAAGCGAAAACCCAACTCCGGGGAATCCTGTGTGTAAAAAAACAGTACGCGGGGGGGTGCCGGATATCTTCCGGACGCCATCAGGGGAAGTGGGAGAGTAGTATTCATATTGTGTAATTGCAGAGGGGGGAGGCGCAAGAGGGGGGGCCTGAGTTGGAAAACGGTCTGCCTCCGTCTTAAAAGGGCCTACGGAGCGCCACCGCCCCTGCAGCCTCGACGCGCTCGATGCGTTCGACGATCCCAAACTCAAGGAAAACATCTCTGGCGCAGCGGATCTCAATATTCGACTCTCCTGAAACTATCACTTTGACTGCCTGCACGGGCTCGTGGGCCCGCCGTAAAAAGAAAACTGAGCCGCCGAGTCCTGTGCTGCCGACCTCCACTCCTTTCGGTGCAAGGAGGGCAGTGATTGCAGCTCGGATCCTCCCGAGGGAGAGGAACAGCTGCCGCGAGATGGGGTTGAGATCACGACGGGGGCGGAGTGAAAGGGGCGGGGCGCCTTCGGCAGGGTCAGGCACACTCCATGCGCCCCCTGCTCTGATGAAATTGTCCAGGACAGTGCTGGCGCCTAGCGCCGTCTCAAAGAGGAGAGTCACCTTCTTCGAAAGATCAAAGCCGCGGGCAAGAATCCTTGCCTGCTGTGCTTCCGGGGGGGATTGCCTGATGCGCGCGTTGCCAATCTCGCGAAGATCTTTGGCAAGGGGGGGCCTAGGAAAGCCAAGCAGGACCAATTTGCATGTATCCTGCTGCGGCTGGTCGGGCGGGCTCGGGCGCGAGCTGCCCCTGGCACTCGAGGCACTGGAGGACAGGGGGGGGAGGTCGGGGTCGGGGTGGAGAGCGACTCGCACAGCCGAGTCTCTGAGATGCGCTGACGACCGGCCAGGCCGGCCAGTTGTCGCTCTATGCTTTCGCACTTCTCGCTAAGCGAGGGGCAGGTCATGGCGGCGTCACCTGTGTTTCCAGCTAAGAGCTCGGTGCGGAGGGCATTCAACTTCGCGTCCTGTACGGAGATGACGTTCTTCAACTCAGTGTCGAGCATCTGGTGCTTGGACTGTACGTCGCGAGCGAGTAGCTTCATCTGATCAGCGAGCTCCCCGCATCGTTTGAAACTTCCCTGCACGGCACCTCGAAGTTCAGCCAGCTCTGTTGCGTTCTGCGAGACCACCTGGTTCATGCTGGCAATGCTGTAGGCGATCGAGTCGAGCTGGGAGGTGATCCGAGACTGATCTTCGCCGTCGGGGCGGCGGGCGTCGGGTGTCCTGCTGGCGCTCCTTCTTGGAGCAGATGAAGGCGATGAAGATCGTGCAGAGCCACGCCGCTCAGATCGCCGCTTCCCCATGGCAGCAGTCTGGGAGAGGTGAAGAGCACGGTAGACTGGGAGGGATCTCCGCAAAATGCGGATGGAAGGCACGGGCGCTGAAGCTCGCGTGCCGCGAGGCCTGTCCTCGCAAGAAGGTCGCCCTGAGCCGTCCCTTCGGCAGCGACCAAGCTCGAAGCGCCAAGGAAGCGTTTCGAACTTGAGCCAAAATGGCTACGGAAAGGGGGGGGGGTTACTTTGGTGGGGGGGGTCCAGCGGGCCTCGTCGAACAAGCCTGAATGGAGGTCTCGAGGCTGGACCCGTTGTTGCACCGCTCTCAGGGGGGGGGTCCCAGGACCGCTGTGCAAGACTTGCTCGACCCGCCCCCCGCTATCGTGAATGCTGGAGTGTTCTATCTGCGAACGCATGCCCCTCGTTCTATCCAGCTGTGAAGGTGGGCAAGAGACTGAATGGAAATAGTCGAGAGTGCTATAGCGCGTAAAGACAAACTGCACCGCTACAACATGCGCTAGTCCCGGGGATTGGGGGGTGCTGTCGCGGTGTTGCGTGATTGCATCTCACTGACTGTCGTCGTGCCTTGGCGACAGGGCGCTGGCCTAGCCGAGAGCCTGGTGCTTACCCTCAGCGTCCAGCGTTTGATTTCAAATACGTACGCAGGCCGAACGATTTTCCTCTTGAGCCCCACATGTCGGAAGCGACGCGCCGATCCCTTCCGTTCTCCTCCCACCTCCTCTTGCCTCTTCCCTCATCCTTCCCCTCTTCATCCTGGGAAGACCCCCCTCCCCCGTAGAATCATAGCATTGGTCTGCAGATCCAGAGCTCCGTGGATAGCATGATGCTTCACTTGCGGTGCCCCGCGGATCCGATCTCCTCTGGGTCCCGGATGCGAATTATTATTATTGTTATTATTATATATTGGTTCCCGGGAAATTAATGGATCCATCGTTTTTTCAAACACAGGAAATTGGATCCGCGCAGCACAGAAATAGGATCCACGAGACTCTCCCACGCCCGAAAAGGGATCCAATTGGATCCATCGGTGTTCTCATATTTTTGGTCCAAGAGGAAAAGGGCATCATCGGCGTGGGGATGTAGGTGTTCAGACGTAGCTCCGAAAAGGTCCGTCCGCACTGTCTCAGGTTTGGTTTGTCACGTTTGACACATGATTCCGACGTGTCGTGGGCTTGGTTGATATGTTGGCTTAACTGTTCAGTGTCGCGCTCGCTAGAGCTACGGCGTTGGCTATCTTGCTCTAGTTTTAGAAGTGGCATCGCGTCGGTGAATATGGCTTCGCTTTCATAGCTTACTTCAGGCGATAAACAAATGTACCATCTGCGAATAACTCTTACACAACATCTGAAAATAGACTGAAACGGAATCAACATCCGAAGTTCAAACCGCGGCGAAACGCATATAAATGTATGAAGCCAGGCCAACTGATGCGTACATGGAGCGAACCGGCATGTCGCTTCAGTCGATGAAGGGCATAATACTACGAGGTGCTGACCTGAGGGACTCGCGCATGAACAAAACATGTGGAACACACAGATTACGCATACGATGCTGCTATTCAAGCAATATGGCCAGAAAGCACCCGTAACAGTGAGCACGCTATGAGATGCTTGAACGTACGCATCGCCAGATCGGAACTGACTCGCACGCAGTATTCATCTGGGTGGCGCTCATAGACTATAGCTCGAACGCCATTCCCATGAAACCAAGCTCGCCGCGAAACTACGGCAAAAAGTCGCAACTTCCGATGCGACAGTGAGATTCCCATGCAAGCTGAATGTGTCTTCTGCCCCCAACCCATTGAAGGGGGGGAGGCATTAGGCTGCGCTGCCCAGGTCTCGGCACCTGACGAATCCGAGTCTGACGACTGGTCCACATATTTCCGAACGATTACGCAATTCCAAACATATGGCCAACATGACACTTAATGAGCTCTACAACAATCCTCGATGGGACAGGGCCACTCAATTCCCCACTGGCTTATGTTCTAAGTCCCTGATGAACACGATCGCATATTGTGATAATGAGCACTGATCTGCACATCAAAAGGGAAGGACTCCATGTTAGACAATATCGAGGTGACCGCGCTCTCCAAGGAGCGACACCTAGTTCGAAAACCATAGCTTCGCGCTCGTATGTTCGGCCACGCCCCACTCGAAGCGAAACAATTCTCCACGTTTCGCGTATCCCCACCAGCTGGTGTCTCAGGGCGTACTGCTTACTATGGCCTTTGACACGTTGGGGGTATTGCATCGCGCCAATTTGGCAGCGTAATTACTGCTCCCTGGGTGCTGGTCCCGCCGTCAGACTCCCTGAGCTGCAGCACCCTTGCACCCGCCGCCCGGCGCCGGCCGCGGCCCGCGCGCGCGTCTGGCCAATTAGTTTCGGCCGCAGCCCGACCGTTACTCGCCGCCGCTGGCGCTTCCGCCCGCGGCTGTTAAAAAAAAGTATCCCCACCAGCCCATTCAGAAGCCCTGCCCATGAGAGCTGACGGGAAACATTGACGAAGAGACACATCCAGGGAAACAAAGAGAGAAACCAGGGTGAACCGAGAGATCTCTTGGAGCAACGGGGTGGCCTTGGAAAGCCTCTTCCGGCCATCCCCGGGGGCCGCGTGGGGGCGAGGCGAAGAGGGGGAGGAGCAGGAGGAGGATAAGGACGAGGAGGAATAGGAGGACGAGGACGAGGATAAGGACGAAGTGGACGAGGACTCATGGAACCACCTAGAGGCAATATTGCGGCTGCTGCTGCTGCTGGTGCTCTCTGGAAGTGTTTGGGGCCCTCTTGGAACCCTCTTGGTAACCCTGGAAGGCTTCTTGGGATCACCTTGGAGGCCATCGATTACAGGATGGGGGGTCCCCAACTCAGCTCCCCCCTCAGGAGCCCGCACACCGCTTCTTGGGGTTATCTTGGAGCACTCTTGGGCGCTCTTGTAGCGGTCTTGGGGCCGTTTGGAGCATCTTGGGAGCCATCTGGTGCCACCTTGGGCTATCTGAGCCATCTTGGAGGTCATCGTGGGCTCGCTGAGGCCGCTCGGGGGCCTCTTGGGTGCCTATGAGGTGCCTCTTGGAGCCCTCTTGGGGCCCTCTTGTAGCCCTCTTGTAGCCCTCTTGGGGCTCTCTTGGGGCTCTCTTAGGGCTCTCTTGGGAACCCTGGAGCGCCTCTTGGGGCAATCTTCGACGCTATCGATCAATGGAGGGATTCTCCCGATCGGGGTCCCCCCCTCGGGGGCCTCGATCCTCGTGAGGGGTGTCAAACATTGGCCCTCCCAAGGGCCGAACAAAAGGCCCTCCAACCACCCGCGAAACCCCCCAAAAAAGTCCAGGGGTAGGGGAAGGGGTAAACCCCTTCCCGAAGGGGAAGAGGGTTTTTGGAAGAGGAAAGAAAGACATCGTTAGACCACCTGTGCCCAGAAGGCTGGTGGGATAAGCCTGCAATTCCCTGGCAAAAACGTAGGATCCACGCTTGTCCAGCAACGATCGAGAAGCAACACTTGATTCGCGATCTCACAAACACGAGCACAATCAGCAAAACAACTATCACTGTAGGTAGCGATGAGCTCAAGCTGCGGAAGTCACCAGACCGCTCCAGAAGCCCACTAAAAACCAAGGACCTCAAATTCGCTGGCCCGACAGCATACAACGCGCCAGAATCTGCGGGATCTGCCGAGCGGGTGGTATACTCCGCGCGCGCTCGCGTGGGGCCCCCGGGGGCCACGGTAGATCAGATAATCTGGTCGAGCGCTGGATCGCGCTGCCAGAACTCCGTTAACCACCAAGAGCGCCTGGAAGCAGCTCCAAGAAAGCCCAAGAGGGTCCAAGACGGCCCAAGAGCGCTCAAAGACGCCCGAGACGGCCCCTTGACGGCCCAAAAGGGCTCCCAAACTCATCCAGGGGGCCCCAAGAGGACCCAAAAGAGAGACCCGAAAAGCAAAATGTATAGACTCCCCTCGCAATTCTTAGGATCTCATGGTTACCGTGTTTTCATGCTTCGAACGCTCCAAGACGGCGATCGCCCCAAGATAATTAGCCCGAGAGACATCAAAGAGGTTTCCAAAACGGCCCAAGAGAGCCCCCGAGCTGGCCCAAAAAGGCCTCCAAGAGGGGCCTACAAAGACCGCAAACATTGGTTCCCAGCGCTCCGCCGCAAGACAACCCCTGGAACCGCCAGCAAGCACCCAGGAGGCCCCCAGGAGGCCCGATAGAAGCTCCAAAGAGGCTCGGCTCCCAAGAAGCTCACCGAGAGGCTCCCAAGAGGCCCCCACGGCAGGCACCCAAGAGCCCTCCAAGAGGCCCCTGAACTGAAAAGCATCGCAAATGACCCTCACATGCATTCAATAGGCCTATGACCCACGACCCAGGCACGGTTGCGGGATGGACCGACGGCCAAGAGGTGGGTCACCAGGACTACAGGCCGCGATGTTACAACGTTGGCCGGCGGAGTGAGCGAAGCACTTGAACAACCCCGGCGACGATGACGGATGGCGAGAACGACGAGGCTGGCGACAACGACGACGACGACGACGACGACGACGACGACGACGACGACGACAACTGGCCGTCTGCAAATGACTAAGTCTGAAGGTTTAGCAAAAAAGAGGGCGGCCAAAAGGCGCGTGCATCAGTGTGCCCCTATCGGTGCCAAACACTCGAGGGAGCTCTCTTCTCGATCGGGACCTCCTCCATGGCTGCACAGGGTCCAGAGACCACGACGAGGAGAATGACGACGAGGACGAGGACGACGGCGACGGCACGGGGAGCGGTGGGGGCGGCGGCGTCGTCCTGTTCTCCTGTGGCTCACCGTCACCAGCGTGCCCTCGTTGAGGCGGCCCTGCCGACGCCCCGCCCCCCCTCGAGCTCGCCCGCCCTGCCCGCCGCCGTCGTCGTGCTCGCCGTCATCGTCGTCGTCGCTCTGCTCATCATCGTTGTAATTCTCCTCCTGCTCCTCGCCGCCGTCCCGGGTCCCCGTCGCCACTGCCGCCGTAGACGTGCAGCTCTCCGTAGGGGGCCCGCGGGGCGGGATCCGCACCCGGAGACCCCCGAAGAAGGAGCTCACGAGACAGCCGACGGGCCCCGAAGAGGCCAGCCCGAAACCCCAAGCTGTCCGAGAGGCTCTCGGAGCGTTGGGGGATTGTAAATCGAATGTGTGACAACACTTCGGTTCATACGTGACTCAATCTCCTCATCTGCTACGTATGCTCGACGCGTCGTCGGTCTCTCATGAGATCCTTTTCCGTTATCTCTCTGCGCAGTTCCAAACCGCGGAGAAGAGATGCAAAAGACTGCGTGGGCTGTGAATGCTGTGATTATGTCAAGTCTTTGACCTACACGACTGTACTTGAGGATAAACATCCCATTTCCAGCGAGCCAGCACGGAAATCTGCAAGATGGACAACTGCGGCCGCATCACAACATATACGCGACAGCCAACGTCGCTCGCTTCACAATTGAATGCCCTTCACTGTTGCAAAGATAATGAATCGAATCGAGCAGACTGGGCTCATTAGAGACCCAACGATGCTTCGACCTTGCATTCAACATGAGAAACATGGCATCCATGCATTGCAGTCCCCAACATGAAATATAACCCTGATCAAGTTCGATGCTCATTCTCAGAAAACCAAGCAGCCAGCACTAGTCAAAGTATACTTTACTCCAGCCAACGAATCAATAGAAGCGGATCGAAGACACATTTCTCCAACAAGGCACTCTGGTGTGCCAAACGGGCAAGAGAACATGAACGCGTTATGAGCTCCATGCAGCTTTGCCACGACCTGCGAAGAAAACAGGCACTGCTTCACCAATTGCTCAAAGGAGCCCGCTCTAATCTACAGCTTTGACGATCTGGGTATCACTGACGCCTATCGGGCGACGGCCGTCTCCCAGCGGGAAAGACCAGCAAAAAAAACGTTTGGACGTTCGGGTCGGCATGTTCCGCCACCATGGTACGAATAGCACCTGTAAACAATTGTAAGAGTATCCGTGGTGGTGGTAGTGGTAGTAGTGGTGGCAGCAGTGAGGATGCTAGCACAAGCACTCGGACGATCCAGAACTGATACGACAAAGGTAATACCTAGCCAACGACGCAATTAACACGTAATCGGCTGCGCGAGGTCGCAGGGCTAGCTCTGGCTTGACGCCGCGTCTGTGCGTGGGAAGGAGGTTGCCCCAGAACTTAGATACCTGCGTCACACCTGCGTCGCCCTGCTGCGACCTCGCTTGGGCCAGCCGTGGCACGCATTGCGCTAGATCACAAGTTCGCATTGCGATGGTGAGATACATCGGCACGGCATGGTACGCCGATTGTCCGCCTTCTGAAAACCAAGCAGCACAACAACGAACGGCACGCCAACGTGACGCGCGATCTGCAGATCGAACACAGCACGGCACGGCACGACACGGCAACCCTGTCGCATGCCGAAGGCCAAGCACGACGCGACGCGGCGCGCGGGCACGGCACAACTGAAGGGGCCCCAGGACACACAAAGAAATACACACAAATGAAAAGATTCCCCATATGTTCCTACATTTTGGGGGTTTTTGTCTCCCCCCCCTTCCCATATTTTCACATATTTTCTGGGAGTCGACGATTAATTGTGTCTGTGTGTTTCTTTCCCTCCTGAACGACAACCGTCTCGCATCCCTGAAGCTAAGTGCTGCACGACACGCCGGTGCGGCACGGCAGCGCCTCCGCACGCAAGAAGCCCAACACCGAACGGAACGGCACCGTGGGCACGGCACGGCACGGCAACTCTGGTTCCAGCGGGGCCAAGCGCCAGTAGGCTACAGTCGGGGCCCAGAAGAAGGAACCCTTCTCGTTTGGGAGGGGCTCGGTGTTCCTTGATTGTTTCACAGCCTGCCTTAGGTTTTTCCTTAGGTTTTCGATATGGAATCGAAGCTTAACTTATGGAAAATAGGGGCCTCGTTCCTTATTTAGGGTTCCTTAGGTCAGCGCCCCGACTGTATAGCTAATATCGTCGACGCCAGCAGCTGGCAACGAATATCGCAGGAATCAATAATGAACCGATTGCGAGAGCACCCGGCAGACGCTGAGGGCTATACAAAGGTCAGGAGCTTGGTACCTGCTGTTGTGATTTCCTCCTCGCTGTGAGCAGAGTAACGTCAACACACTTCTCACCATAACAACACGAATGCCAGCAAGGCCGACAGCACTGCGATCTGCGAAGCCTGCGCGCAACAAACATCCGCATTACACGTCTGTTCAAATCGGCCGACAACTGAGGGGTCTGGGATTCGGTGCCGCCTCAAGTGGCAAGACAACACACACAACCCACGCTACGCCACTGCTGCCCTCGCAACACGAACACACGGAAAACGAAGGAGTGAGATGCCGAGGATTTTACGCAGACGCTGATGTATGCTGACAACTGCGCTGGCACTGCTGGACTAAACCTACGCAGGCAAACGCCTCCCGACGAGACGACGAGTTGGTCGCGGAGATGGGGCCACCAAGATCAGACTGGCGAACTCACTGGAAATCTGGTGTACCACTGGCAACCGCACTTTGTCTACATGTCCACTCGTGTGATCAGTCGGGGAGCACCAAGCTGGAAGTCCTGGACCTCGCACGTTCGCTTCGAATCCACGAATGACCCGTTTGCTAACCTGTTTCAAACCTTGGCCAACACACATTGGGGAACGACCGTCCACCTTCAGCTCAGATGCTTCGATCCGTAATCCACTTCTACGCCAAATCAAGCACTCTTTCCAGGATCTCACTCGCAGACCTGAACAGTGGACTAGCATGGACTGACACAGCGCTGCTGGAAGCGAAACATTCCTGAGCGGTACCTCAGCGAAAGTAGCTACGACAACACGACGCGGGTGACTTCTGCTTGAAATCAGGCGACAACAACTTGCTAACAACTACGACGGGAACCCTAGCACGCCGGGGGTCACCTAGTGGATTGGAATCAGCGGTATGTTGAAAGGAACTTTGGTGTTGCTGTGAAGTTGCTGTCTTTGTGTCGATGCAAGTAGGTTGAGCATTTCTCTGCGTCGTAATGTGGTTTGATGGTGTTTCTGTGGTGCTGGTTGAGTGTTGTGCGGTGTCACTGGAAATGTGCGTGCAGTAGCTTACTGTTGTGGCGTTGTGTGCTTGGTGTTGTTTCCATGTTGGCGTGGAGCGAGTGTGCTTTTGATGCGGTGCGGGCACGGTGCTCGTGTGGTTGTAAGCTAGCCTCACAAATATCGCTGGAGCTGGAAAAGATCGATTCAATTCTGCCTGGGTGCTGGTTTCCGGAGAAGCCCTCCACTGAAGGAAACGCGGTGCACAAAGGCGAGAAACTGAATGGAATGCAAACAAACAACTCCACATCGTTACATGGACAAGAAAAGGCCACTGCGCCACATGCCCTGCAACAAGAACTGCTACACTGCGTGCTCTGTAACAAAAACCCTCCACTAAAGAAGAGTCAGAACTGAGCATCGCTTAACCGAGCCCAATCCCCACGAGCGTGGCCTGGACCCCACTGGCAGATTTATCCCCATATATGGGGATACAGGCTGCGTCCTTCGGGTTTCGAGGGGTATACCCCAACTGGGGTGCCAAGATGGTGGGGGTTTGGATAAAGATGGGGATGGAGATAGGGGTCGGTTAACCGATACTGAAAAACCCCTCCCCAGCCCCGGCACGCCATGGACCGCTTCGCGGTGGAAGAGTAGGCCGGAGTGCGTCTTAGCCTGGTGCCGCTCGTATCGACGATCAGATAGTGCCACGTCCCGGCCTCCTGCGAGCCGCGGCCCGCGCCGATGCGATGGGGCTGCGGAGGCCCTACACGCCGTCCCGACGAAGCAACCCGACAAGCACGCCCTGGGTGATCTTACCCAGGACGTCATCCACAGAAGGAGAAACTAGCTGTTCCCCCTCCTCCCCCCCCCCCGGGGTGCAAATCGGGAACTCTCCACCTCCCCACCCGCACCCCGGAATGCAGTGCTGAGACAGGCGCGCGGACCTGAGGCCTGAGACTCGGCGTGGAGAGGGGGTTGGGGAGGTGGCGCACTTGGTTTTTTCGCACAAGGGATTCCAGAGACGGCGTGCGAGCAACATGGGAGAGGGGGTGGGAGCTCCGGGCTCCCCGTGGCAATTTCCGTCACAACGTCTCGGGCGGAACTGCTAGCACACTACAACGTGATGGACCCAGGAAGTCCATTCCGCCCCGCTTTCAAGAGCGAGATTTGCTGATCCGAAGTTCCTCTCACTCCTCCTCGTCCTTCCCTCTCTCCTCCTCACCCTCCCCCCTCCTTGCTCCGTCCTCCCTCCTCCCCCCTCCGACCTCCCCCTACACCTCCCCCTCCTCAATCCTCATCCTTCTCGTCCCTCCTCCTCGCCCTCCCTCATCACTACCAACTCTCTGCTGCCTCCTCGGTTCTCTTGCCCTCCTGCTCCATAGGGTATCCATACTGGGAACGTGTCGTCGATCACGGACGTACGAGCCGTGGGATCTGCTGTCCATCGGCGTGACTGGAGGGGCAGAAAACTGCATAATCATAATCATAATTTGTCTGATGTCCGCGCGGATGTCTTTTATCGGCGGCAGACCCCACTTCCAGAAGATGCGCAGAGCGAGCCAGGGGCGGCGCCGGAGGCGCCGCCGGGGGAGGCAGGCGGTGATCCCTTGTTATCCTTACGCCCGAACTCTGAGGTTCATGTGTGTTCAGCTTTTCTTTGTCGAAGGTCCCCCCTACGGCCACCCAGTCATTGATTGATCTGTGTTGCCTCTTCTGTCCCCTCTACGTCCCCTCGGAGCGCTGCGTCCTCGCTGGCCGGGTCGGCCTCGGTGGTGTCGAGCACCTCCTTGCCCTGGCCTACCTTGGAGAAAACGGAGAGCCCCGAGAGCAGGCTCTCGTTGGTACTGGTCCTCCGAAGCTTGGGGATCATGCCGGGGCCCTCGGCAGCGGGAGGGACGAATCCGGGAGGGGCGAGGAGCAGAAGGACGACGGCGTGCCTCAGAAGGCGGGCCTCTTGGAGTCTGCATCCTCAGCGCTCGATCGAGGATGCCTCGCCGTGTGGATTGTATGCCCACCTTGCCCAGGAGCCGGGAGGAGGAGGAGGAGGAGGAGGAGGAGGAGGAGGAGATGGAGTATGGGGAAGGATGCGGAGGAGAAGGACGGGGAAGCAGGAGGGCCAGTCCAGGAGGGGTAAACGAGGATCGGGACGGAGGGGGGAGGGGACAAGGGGAGGGAAGAGAGCAAGAGCACCTCGTGCCCGAAGTGGGCCGCCGCCGCGCTGCGGGGACAGGGCAGCAACCCCTGGACACCCCCCGCGCCCACTCCACCAATGTGCCGCGGCCGCCGCCGCCCGGCTGCCACCCGAACGGCGCCGTGGGACGGCCCCCTCCCCGGTGGGACTCCTCTCCTCCTCAGCGCCGTCCCCCTCCTCTGCCTGCTCCATCTCCTCCTCCTCCTCCTCCTCCTCCTCCTGCTCCTCTTCCTCCTGCTCCTCCTCTTCATCAGCATCAGCATCATCATCATCATCATCATCATCATCATCATCATCATCATCATCATCATCATCATCATCATCATCATCAGCAGCAGCAGCATCATCATCATATCATATCATATCATATCATATCATATCATATCATCATCATCATCATCATCATCATCATCATCATCATCATCATCATCATCATCATCATCATCATCATCATCATCATCATCATCATCATCATCATCATCATCATCAGCATCCCTCATCCACGTCGGGGAAGTCTCCCCTTCGTCCTCCACATCCTCCTCCTGACTCTCATGCCAGTGGCACGACGGCCAAAATCCGACGCTCCCCCACCCCTGGGGGGCGGTCTCCCCCTGTACGCGGTAAAAGAAAACCACGAAGAGCGCAAAAAAGATCGCAAAGGGCGGAATAGGTAGCTGTCTTCCGCTACCCTGGGCGGGGGGAGGGACGACGGAACGGCGACGACGGGGGACAGGGAGAAGCCTCATGGGGGGACAGCAAGAAACCTCATGGGGTGAGAGAGGGGGGGGGAGAGAGCCGGGGAAATGCGGAAAAGGCGCGGCAAAGGGCGGCGGACTGCGAGGCGCGGCCATGGTGCGGTGGATTGCGGGAAGGGCGCCGAAACAGAGGCGGCTGCAACGTTGGATCGGGCGTGGGGTGGAGGCTGCCCTGGCAGCAGCGGTGGGTGGCACAGGCGACACAGAGTTGCGTCGAGCAGCGGTGGCGGCGAGGAGGTTGATAGAAAAAGCAGGTGCGGCGAGCGGCAGCAAGCCATCCCGCGGGGCCCTGCGCGGGTGCCGCTGGCGTTGCCCACGGAGTCTGCGACCGCCCCAGCCAACGATGTGGCCCCGCGCGGCGCGGGGTGGGGGGGCTCAGGCCCCCCCCTTGGGGCCGCGGGCGGCCCCATCCTTCGGCTCCGGGCCCCCCGACCCGCGGGAGTGGGCGGCAAGCGGAGAGGGGTGGAGCTGTGCGGACGAGCCGGCGGCGAAGGAGGCTGGAGCGTCTGGGCGGGTCGGCGGCTGCGGGCTGGCCGCGGCCGCCATGGCCCGAGCGAGGGGCGGCCTACGCCCCGCTCTCCCCGACCCCAGAGCTGGCCCGCCACGCCCCTTCATCCACAGAGGTCGGTGCGTGGGCGGGCCTGCTCAGGGCGACTGGGGAGGCAGGAAGGCAGGGACAGGTTGGGCCGAGTGGATCTTCTCGCCCAGTGGTTCGGAGTGTCAGAACACAATGCGAGGACAAGACACAGTATGGTGTAGCGTCGAAAACTGAACCTTGTCGGTCGCCATGCTAGAAGTGGAGAAAAAGAAAGCAAGCATGAACCACCGCGGCGGGGCTGGCCGTGTCCTGTTGGTTAGATTGGCTAGAACCCATGATGCGGTCCCCTCCTCCTACCCTTCTCCTCCTCCTCCTCCGGTGCCTCCTCTATCTTCCCCCTCTTGGGGTATGACGGCTTCCCAGCCTTCATTCCACTGCGTGCTCCCCCACATGTCTAATCAGGGCGACTCGCCTGGGCATCGTTTCTGGATGGGCTGGTGGGTTTCCGCGAAACATCTAGAAAGAGCGGCATGGCTTCGCTGCCCTCGACGCTCGTTCAGTCGGAGTTGGCGGCGGGAAAAAACTAAGGTGGCATCGTTGTAAAACTCTCTGGCGTAGGTAGTTGAATGAATTGATCTGCGCTGTGCGCCTTTTTCGTAGACCTGCTCCACGAAGACCTTGAGGATAAGCTGTGCGTTTGCGCGCTTCTCTCCTCGGCGGCCTTCGTGCGAATTCTTGAGGTAGATGCGGTCATTGTCGGCCATTTTGTTGTGCCTCCCCACTGGTACCGTCGATATGAGTTGTTCTTCGTTTGCCGTAGGGGTCGTTGATAACTTCGCGGCCTCTCTTTCCCACGCCTATGTCGTATCGCAGCGTCCTCACCCATCCTCTGACAGAATAGGCAAGGATGGAGACAGAGCCGCAGTCGACGGCAATGCAGTTTTTCTCGGTGATGAGTGTATGGGACATGTGGTGTTTCTGAGATCCGTCGGGCACTTCTGCAGACTTGGCGGCAGCATGAAGGTCGAATCGCGGGTCGTCGGGCGGGGTGTAGTCCAGCGCGATCTTGGGTGCCCTCGTTGCGAGTGGATGACCCTGGGCTGGTCTTGCTGCTGGTCCTCAGGTGGAGCGTGGGCGTTGTCTGGCCTTCCGTGCTTTTGGCGTTGGTCGACACGCTCTGCCTAATCTTTTCATAGCCAATACGGACCGCAGCTTTTGCGTGGGGGCCGACGTGTCGCGTCGCAGTCGTCGGGCTGGTCTGCTAGGCCCGGCCATCGTGACGAATTCGACGGGCGGCTCCATGCTGTGGTCGAGGAGTGCGTGCCGTATCACTGGCATGCTGGGCAGAATGTCCTGCCTCCCCCTGATCCTCCCATTTCGGCGGGCCGTGTCGGCGCGTAAGGGGGGGGGGGGGGGAAACCACAACGCGGAGAAAGAGCGAGGAGGGAATACCTTCCCCTCTCGGCGTGCGGTTCGTCGGCGCGCGGGGCCACGGAGGCGCGCCAAGGGGAGGCGAAGGCGGAGGGAGGGTTGGGGGGAGGCAGTGGAAAGGATGAGGGCGACGGGGACGAACGATACGAATGATAGGACCAATGAGTGGTGATGACGGGAGGGGGAGAGGGAGGAGGAGGAGGAGGAGGAGGAGGAGGAGGAGGAGGAGGAGGTGGAGGAGACGTGGGGGGGAGACGCAGCAATGGCAAGGACGAGCGCTCGCGGGGCTCGCCTGTGGACACCCCAAAGCATCCCAGGAGGGCGAGAGCTATGCGCAATTGGCAAGTTCACCACGTGGATCGCTCAACTTCGAATGATCACCGCTTTTTCCGCTGGCGCAGGTCGCTCGACAAGGACCGATTCTGGGCCACTGGCGACATTCGACCCCAAACGCCCGCGGCGGATTCGCCGCCTCGTCAACGCTGTGCGAACCCACCGTGAACCGATCCTGGCCAGGCTCATCCTGAGCCCAGGATCGGTATAGGCCTGGGTGGCAAACAAGCATGTGAATACTTCTGGTTGCCCGACTCCTGGACCCCCCTGGGCCTCTCGGAACGCACAGACGACCATGCAAGAAGCCCATCCTCTTCCCTCCCCGATCCTGCACACCCAGAACTTCCTACGTGGAGCGCAGGAATAGTAAAAATAACTAGATCCACTTACATCCCAATACGTACTACATCCCACACACCCAAGCCGGAGCCTCATACAAAGAGATTCCCTGGAAACGTCTGACCTCCCACGATCTTCTTCTTCCCCAGCGTCATTGCCTCTCGTCTCACTGTCCTCTTCCCTTGGCACCGCGAGCGAGGGGGTCCTGAGGGAGGAGACCTGGGCCGTTGGGCTCCCCGGAGGCTCGTGCATTTCCCAAGGGCCATGACCTTCCCCGGGACGCTCCAAGAAAGCCCCAAGGCCCAGGACCGCCCTCCCTCGGGACCCCTCCTCCTCATCTTCAGGTGTCTCGCAACACACGTCCCAACACCTCAATCCTCGATCATCCTGCCCCCCTTCGTCTCGAAGGGAGAGGGATGGCAGGGAGGAAGGAAGAAAAGATGCAGGGGGCGCAGGGCGGGAGGGAGAGATTCGATTCTGCTCTGCAGGTTGACGAAGGGATTTAAGGGAAGATTCCTCTCATCTGGTTTAGAGGCCACCTAGATGGGGTCCGAGTAGATGGGGTCGGAGGATCGCGCCGCATCGCCGATACATCTGCGATGCATCGTCGATGCATCGGCGTTGCATTTTCGATGCACTGGCGATGCATCGTCGACGTCGGCGATGCATCGGCGACGTCGACGTGAAGCCAATCGGGCTGAACATCGAGCCGCACCGACGATACATCGGCGATGTGGCGCGATCCTCCGACGCCATCTACTCCGACCCCATCCAGGAGGCCTAGACGGTTGACGAAAGAAAAGGGGCTGCCGGAGGGGTGTAGCGAATCAGCTGCATGTGCAGTCGGACTCGCTTGGAGAGGACGCGCGAGGGGACACAAGACCCTTCCGAGGGCCACATCGCCACTGGAGTGTGAGAAGGCACGTGTCGCGAGGCACAGGACACGAGGGCACCCCTGAGCTGGCAGGGTCGACCCACTGATCTGGGCCAACTGCAGCGTGCTGCCCCGACGCCTCCCAGCGACGGAGGCGACCGCGTGCCGAGGAAGACGCCCGGCGGCGGGGCCGAGACCGGCCGCGCGCGGCAGCTGCCATCCGCCCCGGTTCCAGCTCCCTCCTCTTTCGTCCTCCCTGATCCTCGCCCCTCTCTTCCCCCATTCCTCCCGCCCCCCCACATCCCCCCCGACCCCACGCGGGAGGAGAGGAGGAGGGAGGAGAGGAGGAGAGGAGGGGGAGAGGAGAGGAGGGGGAGAGGAGGGAGGGGGAGAGGAGAGGAGGGAGGAGGGGGAGGAGAGGAGGGGGAGGGGGAGAGGAGGGGGAGGAGAGGAGGGGGAGGAAAGGAGGGAGGAGAGGAGGAGAGGAGGGGGAGAGGAGGGGGAGAGGAGGGGAGAGGAGGAGAGAGGACGGATCGTCGGTCCCCCTCCGCTGAGCAGACCCCAGCGCCCGGGCCAGCGGAGGGCCCGGGAGGGGGGGCCGGCCGCACGGGGCTCCCCAGCCCGGGTCGGCCAGAGGGGCTTGGCTGACCTCCCGGGAGCGCGGACCCCCAGCAGGTGAGATCCCCGACCTATCGCTCCTCCTCCAGGACGCAGCCAGGACGAGGAGAAAGCTCGGGAGAGCATCATTCAAACTCGTGGACGTGCCTCTCCGAGGGCCGGCGGCCCTGGAGGATATGCCTCGGGCGCCGCGGCCTCCTCGGAGGAGCGCTCCAGAACGCTCTGGAACGGATCTGCCCTCGCCCTGGCCCGGTCCGACCCGTTCCCCCCCCCCCACACCCGGCCCAAGGGGGGAAGGAGGAGGAGGAAGAGGAGGAGGAGGAGGAGGAGGAGGCGGAGGCGGAGGCGGAGGCGGAGGAGGAGGAGGAGGAGGAGGAGGAGGAGGAGGAGGAGGAGGAGGAGGAGAAGGAGGAGGAGGAGGAGAGAGGAGGAGGAGAAGCAGGAGGAGGAGGAGGAGGAGGAGGAGGAGGAGGAGGAGGAAGAGGAGAGAGGAGAGAGGAGGAGGAGGAGGAGGAGGCGAGCCTGCACCGCGCGGAGGTCAGAGGCGGACCCCCTTCGTGCGCGCCGCCCCGGTCGCGCCGAGAGCGCCGCGGGGCGGCCCGGCGGGGGGGGGGCGGAGCCCAGGTGCCCTCCGCCCTGCGGCGGGGTACCCTGACTGCAGGGGCGCGGCCGGGGCGCGGCATGCTGTGGTGCGCGGCCGCCTGCGGGCTCGGCGAGGATAGCCTCCCCGATGGGTTTGGAGTGGATTGCGCTTCAGCCGAAAAAGTTTGTCCAACCGCAAGCTGCCCTTCAAGAAACGTATGATGGGTCTCTGCTGGGAAGCTCCGTGCGACTCTGGAACTTGATACTGTACCAAACATCATGCCCAGGCCCCGAGCGGAGAAGATGGGACAGCGGTGGAGGGACGAGGAAGGAAGGCAACGATTGCTCGAAGACTTCGGAGTGGGTACTTGGCACGATCTCTTTGAATTCCCGACGCTGGCTCAAAGATAGGATCCTGAGGGATGGGGGCCTACGGACAGGACAGGAAGCACCTCAGGGGAAGGGGGGGGGGGAGCGGGGGCGGAGCACAAAGATACCTCCACCCTGCGGCGGGGTACGGCAACGCCCGTTATCGCCAGCGGGGAAAATACCTCCTGGAGGCGCATCGTGGGCCGTCTTGGAGGCCCTCGGGGCGGGCCCGAACTGCAGCGTGGCACCGCATATACAAACGTCTGGCATGCACGACCCCGCCGCTCGGAGCTCATGCCCTCGACAACTGTGCACTGTGCTGTTCTTGCGGTACTGCGGCCCTCTACGCCCGGGACCTGCCTCCCGGTGCCCTCCTCCGCGGCCGCCCTCTCCTGTTCCAGCTGCCCCGGTGTGCAGAACCAGCGCGGCCCTTCGGCTGTCGAAAGCGTCAGCGTGCGCTCTCGCTGCCGACCAACGTGTTCGTGCGGCATGGGCTCCTTACCCTGTGTACTCCAGATTTCGTAATAAAGGGAGGGGGGTCTCATTTCGGGGGGGGGTCTCTTCCAGGCTATCTTGGAGGGCCTTGGGGGGTCTGGGGACGATGTTTTGGAGGGTTCTCCCACGGGGGGTGTCTAAAACTTCTCGTCTGGGAGGGTTGAGACCCCCTGCCTTTTATTACGAAATCTGGAGTACATGTTGAGAGAGTACGGGCGTGGGAGAGAGAGCAAGGGGAGGTGGGGGGCAGGGAACGGGGCAGGTAGGCGCCGGCAGGGGAGATGGAGGGGATGGCCGATGGGGATGGAAGCCATGGGGGGGCGGAGCAACGAGAGGCAGGAAGGAGGGATGCGGAACGAGGCGCGAGGGTGCAGTAGTAAACGCCGATAGTAAATGTCGGAGTGATTTTCCTCCTGCTGATCTCAGGGCCCCGGGGAGGCCCCTGGTGTGTATGTTACTGTCGTGCATGTGCGTGTTGATGCTGCAGCATTTTGGCTTGCCACAGGTGTGGAAAAGAGGGAGCGGGCGCTCCCTCCTCGGAGCCCAATCTGCATTGGTAGAGCGGAGCGTGCCGCGCGATAGCAGGCGCTGTCGCACTGGGAGGCACTCAGGCGAGTGCCAGCGGGACGCTAGAAGAAGGTGATGAGCACGGACAACGGGGGTCCCGGCGGTGCGATCAGGAGGTTCGCCGGGAGTGGAGCTGATGCCTTTCGGGAATATCGATCCTGGAAGAAGTGGGCGCGGGCGTACCTCATCGTGCAGAAGGCGAAGGGGACGCCTGCGACGGCCTTAGGGCCAACGCTGTTCACGCTGCTGGACGACGTCGCCGCCAAGGCGCTGGAGGTGGTCGACATGGACGACCTGGAACAAGACGGCGGCGAGCAGCTCATTTTCGAGACTCTTGACTCACGCTTCCCCGACGTGGCAGCCCACGATCGTCTCGGAGAAGCGCTGAAAGAGGTATTCACGATTCGCCTGGCCAAGGGCGAGTCGATGGCGGCATACTGTGGTCGAGCTCAGGCGGCGTTCGCCAAGGGCGAGACCGAGGGCGTAGTGCTGCCGGACATGGCGCGTGGGTACCTCCTGCTGCTGGGTGTGCACCTGGCGCCGCAGAACCTCGCGGTCGTCCTGGCAGCATCGAGCCGATCATACAAGGAAAAGGACGTGGCGATGGCGCTCAGGACGACGTACCCCAACGGCTTGGCGGACTTCGGCCAGCAGTCGAGGGCGTTCGGGGCGCACGTGGCAAGAGAAGAAGCCGACGAGAGCGACGACGTCTCGGACATCACGGCGCTGCTGGCGGGCTTCGACGTGATCGAGGAGACCGAGGACGGGGACATCCTGGACGAGAGTGAGGCCATCGAGATACTCGTGTCCTGGCGCGACCAGCGCAACAAGATCACGAAGGAGCAGCTGGCTCGGGGCTTCGGTCCGAAGAAGCCGGACACCAAGGCGATGGCGAAGCGAGTGCGATGCTACAATTGTGACGAGGTCGGCCACTTCAGCAGAGACTGCAAGAAGCCGCGTCGACAACGCCGTCCTCCTCCACGGGACCACAAGCACAAGGGCAAAGACGGCGAAAAGCGCAGCGACGTGGTCACGGTCTACGAGAGCGACACGGAGGAAGACGTCTTCGTGGCCGGCGACGGCGGGACCGGGGCCATCGTCGAGGAGGAGACCTTCGAGTGCGACGTGTGCGACGACGAGCTCCGGCGGCCCTTGAGCGTCGGCGGCTGCAGCGACGACGACGAGTGCGACTGCGAGCTGACGGCCGACGAGGAGGACGAGGATCAGGACATAGACGATCTGTACGAGGCGTACACGGCGGCGAGGGACGACATGGACGACGTGATCGAGGCATACCACAGGCTGACCACGATGCACAGGGACGAGGAGATGCCAGAGGTGCTGACGGCGTCGGCTCACGAGCCGGGGTCGGGCGTGGTCGACACTGGGTGCGGCAAGGGAGTCATCGGCGAGAAGACCCTCAAGGAGCACAAGATGGAGATGGAGAAAGCAGGTCTCGCGGTGAAGACGATCAAGCAGACGAAAGCGACGACCTTCCGATTCGGCAACCAGGAGACACTGGAGTCGATCTACACCGCGGAGATCCAGTGCCGAGTGGGCGGTCGCCTCCTGGTGCTCCGCCTGTGCGTCGTCCCAGGCGAGACCCCGCTGCTGGTCAGCAAGCCCATGCTCAAGGCCCTCGGCGCGCAGCTGGACATGGAGCGGGACGAGATTCGGTTCGCCCGGATCAACGTCACGGTGCCGCTCCGGGTCGCGGCCAGCGGCCACTACCAGCTGAACCTATGCGAGAGGAAGAACGAGGACGGCAGGAGGATCCAGACGGCTGAGGTCGACGTGATGGTGACGGCGGAGCAGGACGACGGGCGGACAGCGGAGGAGAAGCTGGAGCACGAGGAGTTCGTCGCGGCGGCGTCGTCGGGTTTTCGCTAGGGCCGAGCCGGAGCCCAGAGGCTGACGGCGACTGGGACGACACCGACGTCCTGTGGTCAGAAGGCGTCACCGATATCATGAGTCGGCGGGCCAAGCGATCGGTGATCAGGGGTGTCCTCGAGGCACAGGCCCGGCTGGGCCGCCAACCGAAGTGTCTGGAGATCTTTTCTGTGCCACGAGTGACCCCCGCCCTGGAGTCCATGGGGTTCAAGAGCCTCGGCGCGTTCGACCTGCAGAACGGCTGGGATGCCCGCCGAGCGGCGGACCGCCACAAGATCCTACACATGGTCGACGTCGAGGAGCCGGAGTTTGTGGGCATGAGCCCTCCATGCGGTCCCCTTTCGATCCTGCAGAACCTGACGATGGCGGAAGTGCGACGAGACCCGGAGAAGTACCGCCAGGCAGTCAAGGAGGCGGTCGGGTACCTGAGGTTCTGTGTGGTGGTGGCTCGGATGCAGATCCGAGGAGGTCGATACTTCACGCTCGAGGCACCGCCGACGGCGAGATCCTGGGACTGTGCGTCGGTTCTGGGCCTGTGTCGGGTGGCGGGAGTACACCGGGTGTCGGTCAACGGGTGCCAGGTGGGTTTGAAAGATCCAGTGACAAAGAAGCTGATGTCCAAGGAGTGGTGCTTCGCGACCAACGCGGACATGCTCAAGTGGACGCTGAAGGAGCTGCGGTGCTCTCGTGATCATGAACATCAGTGGTGCTGGGATAGCTCGAAGGGTATGAAGAGGAGCGCGTTCTCGGAGAAGTACCCTGAGGACCTCTGCAGGAGGATAGCTGGCGCTATGGCAAGTCAGCTGGAGGCAGACTGCGCCTTCCAGACGGCCGACATCCTGACGACGACTGAGGACGACGAGGTGATCAAGCGGCGAAAGCTGTCGCTCGAGGCGTCCCTCAGGAGGTTGCACGCTAATCTTGGTCACCCAAGCAATGAGGACATGGTCAGGATCCTGAAGCACGCCAAGGCGAGTGAGATGGTGTTGGCCCTGGCGCGGACGTTTTCCTGCTCCGTCTGTGAAGGACGGCGGCTTCCCAAGGCCGTGCGGCCAGTGAAGGTGCCGTCGAAGTTGGCGCCATTGAGGCTGGTCGAGCTGGACGTAAAGGAGCTGCCAGGCTGGACGGAAGGGATGAAGGTGAAAGCCCTGAACATCGTGTGCCCCAGCAGCGGTCTCCAGCAGATGCTACCCTTTTTCGTGCAAGAGACCGGCAAGGTGCTGAAGGAGCTCTTTGAGAACGGCTGGAGCCAGCCGTATGGGCCTCCGGTGCTGATTAAGTGCGATGCTGGCAAGACCAACCTGGGCCAGGAGATTGTCGACGCGTTCGAGAGGCAGGGCACGGAGGTCAGCGACGCGGCTGGGGAGGCTCATGAACAAGTTGGTCACGCCGAGCGCCATGGCACTTGGTTCGAGGACATTCTGAACAAGGTGCTGGACCAGACGAACCCGAAGGACGAGACTGAATACATGACCTGTGTGCGCGCGGTGGTGATGGCGAAGAACTCCCTCCTGCGGGTCCACGGCTTTTCGCCGCACCAGATCGCCCTGGGGAGGAACCCGGAGGTACCGACGGACTTGCTGCAGGAGGAGCCGAACATCGTCGCCAACAGCGCTGCCCTACATGACGAGCCGTTCGCCGAGATGGAGAGATGCCGACAAGCTGCGAGGATCGCTGTTCTGGAGTACATGGACAATCGCGCGGCCAGGGTCGCACTGGACAGTCGACCTAGAGTCGTACAGTCATTCAAGCCGGGCGATCGTGTGGCTGTGTGGCGCCGAGGTCGGGGCATCCCCGGCAAAAAGGCTCACGCCCGCTGGCGCGGGTCGGCCGTGATCCTGGGCCCCGTGCGCGGCAACTTCTGGGTCGCCATGCCAGGCAAGGTGATCAAGGCATCGCCGGAGCAGCTCCGGCACGCTACCGAGGAGGAGAAGCTGGCCGCCGAGGTCGCCCAGCCCGAGCTTCGAGCCCTGGCGAAGGAGTTCATGGACGGCCAGGGTCCGCAGCGCGGCTTCATGGACATCACCGCGGATGAGCGACCTCCTGGCGCAGCACCTGCTGGCGCGGCTCCGAGCCCGGCGGCGCAGGAGCCGCCGGAGGAGCAGCCTCCGGCTGCGGCAGAGACGAAGGAGCCGCCGGTGCAGCCGACCACGGACGACCGCGAGGGGGACGTTGAGGTGGCACCACCCGCTGAGGCGCCTGCCGCCCCACCGGCCGACGAGACGGCCGCCGACCCGAAGGTGCACCGCCGGCTGGTGGGCAAGAGGGCGGTCCTCCCGGCCGAGGTGCGGCCTCCCAAGGCGCCCGGGGTCGAACCTGAGGAACCGCTGCCACCTCCTCAGGCGAAGATGCCCAGGCTGTCGGAGGACGTCTGCAGCGCGCTGCTGGCGAGCGTGGTGTCTGACACAGTGGAGGACGAGAAGGAGCTGCGCGTGCTGTACGTCAACTCGGAGGACGATGAGGAGCTGGAGGACGCGATGTTGGCCGGCGGGAGGCGTGAGCTCAACAGGAAGGACCCAAAGTGGACCAGCCGGGAGGGGCTCGCGAAGATCGACGCCGGCATCGGCAAGGAGGTGGACAACCTGTTCAACAAGAAGCAGGCGCTGGCGCCTGCGTCTCGGGTCGAGTCGGATGAGATCCGACGGAATAGTCCAGAGCGCATCGTTGGCAGCCGGATGATCCTGACGAGTAAGATCGACGATTCTGAGACGGAGGTGGTCAAGGCGCGCCTGTGCAGTCAGGGCTACACGGATCCCGACTTGATGCAGCTCGTGCGCGAGAACAAGACCTCCTCCCCGACCCTATCACAGAACGGGAAGGTCGTGGCCTACCAGCTGTTGGCTTCGCACGGCTTCCAGGTTCAGATCGGGGACGTTGAGGGGCCTTCCTCGAGGCGGACCCCATCAAGCGCAAGAACGGGGACCTGTACCTCAAGCAGCCGCGCGGAGGGCTTCCCGGCTTGCACCCCGACCAGCTGCTGAAGGTCATCAGGCCGATCTACGGTTTCAACGACGCCCCGGCTCAGTGGTGGGGCAAATTCAGGGACACCATCCTGGACTGGAGGCCGAGCGACGGGTGCGAGGGCTGGCGCCAGTCCAAGCTCGACCCGTGCCTGTTCTTCCTGTTCGAGGATCGGCATTTGAAGGGACTGATATCGACGCACGTCGATGACATACTGACTGGAGGAAAAGGGAAAAAGTACAACGCTTTCATCAGATTTCTGCGCATGAGGTTCCCGTTTCCCAAGTGGAAGGTCAACGAGGGGAAGTTCTGTGGGTCTTATCTTGTCCAGAATCCCGTGACCATGGAGATAACCGTGTCTCAGAAGGAGTTCGCTGAGTCGATGAAGCCCGCTGGTGTGAGACCCCGAGCGCCCCCGGAGACCCCGGCTACCGAGAAGGAAATCGCGAACTTCCGCGCGATGCTCGGTAGTGGCAACTGGTTAGCTCGAGAATCCAGGCCAGATCTAGCAGTCCAGGTCTCGATGAGCCAGCAGCGCATGCCCAGGCCGACGGTGGGGGAGGTGAGACACGGGAACACTATCGTGAGGAGGGCAAAACAAGTCTCGAACCTGTCCTGGAAGATTAAACCGATTCCGATCGAACGTCTCCGGGTCATCATGCACGCCGACGCCTCGAACCAGAACGCCTCGAAATCCGGGACCCAGGCAGGTTACGTCATCGCTGCGACCGACGAGAACATGATCCGAAACGAGTTGAGCCCCTGGAGCCCGCTGGTCTGGAAAAGCTATCGTCTTCGTCGAGTTACTTCGTCGACTCTCGCCGCGGAGACTCAGGCCCAGATGGACGGCCTAGGTCACCTCGAGTGGATCTCCTGCCTGCTCCTCGAGGGCAGCGATGGAAGATTCTGCCTGCGTCGTCGATCTGAGTGTCTTCCGAAGTTGGCTCCCATTGCGGTCACGGACTGCAAGTCACTGTACGATCACATCGTCGGCTGTGGGAGTGCGGGGTCAGATTCGGACAAGCGGGTGGCGGTCGATCTAGTCATCACTAAGGAGAGCGTGAAACGTCTAGGTGTGAGCTATCGGTGGGTACCATCAGCCCTTCAGCTAGCAGATATATTGACTAAAGACAAAGCCGAGCCAGCAGATATGTTGAGAGCCACAATGACAAGCGGGAAATATCAGTTAGCCGACGAGCCAGCCGTTATGGCAGCAGCAGCCCAAGAGCGTGTCCGTCGTCAGCTTCTTTCGGCTGGTAACAGGAAGGATCGTCCCAGCCGCCAGCCGACGCCACCGGCGCCCGGCCATGGTCAAGTTCGAGAGCTGCCTGACGGAGGACGGAGTCAGGAGCCTGTTCGAGAGCATACAGGCGGAGCCAGTCCGCCACTCGGGGACGACGTGCAAGGTCGTGACCAACATGCAGATCTTGGGAGATCCAGACAGCCGCCAGCACCGCAATCGTGTGACGCTGACGTGGAGCAAGGGGACAGGCAACATCGCCATCAGGACGGCGGCCATCATCGAGGACTCGGCGCTGATGTACATGCAGCACCTGGACAGCGCCTACCTCGCAGTGCTGGACGGCAAGGACCCGGAGGTGCTCGAGGGCATGGAGTCGGTCATGGAAAGCCTACGGGTACCGGCGCAGCACTCATACGAGGGCGTGCCAGGACAGTCAGATTCGGACGCGTGGAGCGTCATTTCTACGAAGTTCCCCGAGGACAGGGAGTTCGTGCAGGCAATCGAGAACCTGTGCGAGTGGGGGAACCAGGAGCTGGCGGACTACGAAGACCAGCGCCTGAAGTTCATCAAGATGATGATACGTGAGTTTAAGGCGTCCCGTGACTTTCTCCTCACGACGGTTGACGAGGGTATGGAGGACGGGGAGGCCGAGCAGCCGACGCCGACCGCCGCCACTCCCTCCTCGTCTCCTCCGAGGTCGAGGACCCGGGTGCCGTGAGCGTGAGAGTCCTGCGTTTAGGGTGTGCAGCCTCAATGACGCACAATTTTTGTTTTTAGTCAGTGCTGATCTCAGGGCCCCGGGGAGGCCCCTGGTGTGTATGTTACTGTCGTGCTTGTGCGTGTTGATGCTGCAGCATTTTGGCTTGCCACAGGTGTGGAAAAGAGGGAGCGGGCGCTCCCTCCTCGGAGCCCAATCTGCACCTCCCTTCACACGTGACGAAGGAGGAGCGGAAGAGGCAGAAGAGGAGGAGGAGGAGGAGGAGCGTCCAAGGGCAACGTGGCAGCTTCGCGGCGGCGAGACGCGGCGCCGCAGCGGGCGCGGGGCAGCAGGAGGGCACCAAGGCAGGAAAGGCACGGCAAACGACGGTGCGCAAAGGCGGAACGCCGATCAGGGCTCCACGTCGAGCCGCATCGCGAAATGCCATCGAGGCCTTGCGCCGCGGCTCACGCGGGCGGCCAGCGCGGCACGCCACATTGGAGACGAGGGCGCTTACCGGGGAAACCCAGAAAGGTCCTTTCTTCTCCTCCGAACATTGGAGTCAAGGGCGCTTGCGCGCGACCTCACGCGGGCAGCCTACGCGAGAATGCCGGCGCAATCGACCCCGTTTTCCAGCAGTGGCTCCTGCGGAAGGCCGGGATCGCCGCCTCACGCCCCCCTGCCGAAGACGTGGACGGCCCCCGAGGCGCTCGCGCACGCGAAGTGGCCGTCCAGGCCGCCGCCCTCCGGGAGACGGCCGCCAACGCCATCCGCCAGCGGCACCAGGAAGCGGACCTCTGGCTACACCTACAACCCCCCCCCCCAGCCCAACCCGGAATGTAGTGGGCGAAGGACGGTATAACATAAACTCACATCTTCCAAGAGGCCCCAGAGAGGCATCCCAAGAGACCCTTTAGATTCATCCAGGACGCTCCTGATCCAAGATGTAACTTCCACGATCGTCTCAAACACTCACTCCTCGTGAGTCGGCAGAATGCCGCATGCCCCTTGAATCAACTTGTTCGCCGTCGCAGGCGCCTGTCCAAGGGCGGATGGAAAGATCGTAGCCCTTCGGTGGCACGTCAGGGTAAAAAACTTTCCAGCCGCCCTGGGACAGGCGCCCCCGGTGGCGGACACATTTGCATCATACCGGTCTTCGCCCGCTAAGAAGTCACAAGTGGGCTCGTCGATTTCAAGTGGGGGGGGGGGAACTTGAGAACATTCAGGCAGCACGATGGAGCCCGTACTGATGACCCTGAATGACAACCCCCACCCCCGGGTGGCGGCACCCGCAGCGTTCCCCCGCAGGTTGAGTGCCGGAACTGGGAGCGGGGGTGAGAGTTCGGCGGCCTTCGTGGCTGACGCTCGGGCCTGGGCCGCTCCACAGAATCCCACCCGCGATCGCCGCGTCCACGCGGCAAGGCTGCCTCGCCCCCGTGGTGGTCGGGGGTTGGGGTGCCATGGTGGGTCAATGCGCACACACCCCAACCCGAAATTCGGGGAGGGCCAGGGCCTTCGGGATGGGTGGGGGTGGCTTGGTAGGCAGTGCACCTCCGGGCCTCCCTGCGCGCAGCCTCCGCCGTC